TGTCCTTTACAGCAATGGCCAGATCAAGCTCTAGTTGGGCTTTGACCCTTCTAATTTTCTGCCTGCATATCCTCACTGCATCCTTGTAGCCCTCCTCAGTGGTTTGACCTCTCTTCCATAGGCTATAGGCTCTCCTTTTGTTCCTAACTTCCAGACAAAGCTCTTTATTCATCCAAGCCGGTCTTCATCCCTTCCTGCCCCTCTTTTGGGTTGTGGGGATGGCCTGTTCCTGTGCCTTTAAGACTTCTCTCTTGAAGTCTGTCCAGCCTTCCTGGATTTCTTCGCCTTTCCGGACGCCCTCCCAAGAAACACTGCCAATCAGTCCCTTGAAGATGCTGAAGTCCACCCTACAGAAGTCCAAGGTGGCAGTTTTACTACCACCCTCCTTGCTTCTGTAAGAATAGAAAACTCTATTATTTTATCATCACTAAGCCCAAGACAGCCACCAACTGTTACATCTCCTACAAGTCCTCTTCAGTTCACAAGCAGCGGGTCTAAGAGGGCACTTTCTCTAGTTGGCTCCTTCACCAGCTGCACCACAAAGTTACCTTCCACACACTCTAGGAACCTCCGTGGCTGTTCCCTCTCTGCTGTATTGTATTTCCAGCACACATCTGAGAAGCTGAAGTCCCCAAGAGAACAAGAGGGAGCAAACACAAAACCTCTCCCAACTGCTTGTAGAGATGACTGGGGAGCTCTGGCTAGGAAATAGCAGAGGCTGTATCAGCTGATGTAAGATGCCCCTGTCACCACTCTGAGCAACCAGTACTGCCTGCCTGTGCTGCTGACAGTACATCCACAGCTGGTCACAGCTGCTGTGCTTCCACGATCACTTCTCCGGAGACCTGTCTTCACATCAGAGCTGCCCCAGGGCACACATGGTCTCCAGCAGCTCTGCTTGGTGCTCTGCAGAGCTCTTCACCACCCCCTCTGCCCTGTGCTGATGGAAATGGACACAAAGTCCTCATGCCTGAGGTAAGTATGTACGAGGGCTGGCCAAGTACATGAGCCCTTCCATGGTCCCTGGCAGAGAGGTGTTCACTTTACGGAGCCATGGACTACCAGCTGTGGAGGAGCCTAGGCACATCCACTGGCACGTCCAGGTAGCCCAACCCATGGTCATGACGTGAAGCTATCCCTGCAGTGCAGCACCCAAACACCTCACTCTGGTGTCGTGAGCCTTGCCTGAGTCTTACACAGGCCCAACAGCTTCTGTCCTCCCTGCCAGGCACATTTCATGACACGCAGCAGCAGCTGCAGCTGCCTCCTCTCATCTCCCTGCACAAACTACTCACTGCTTTGTGCAGAGCAAGAGCTGTGCGAGTCCTGCTCCCAAGAGCTGGCTGAAGCAGAGAAGCACACAAGACCTTTAAAACAGGGGCATCTGGGATAAAGCCTCATAAGATAAACCACTGCAAAGAGTGTTTCCCCCATTCCTCAGCACCAGGCCTCCATTTTGTAAACACTGCCACTTCAGTGCTCGATGGCCTCCCCCTCCTCCAGCCCAGGCGAGTGACACGGCTCAGCCTCTCACCTTGATTAATTGCCAGTGTCTCTGAGTAGTAGTTCTTGGCATTGACGGATTTCACCATGTACTCACGAATGGGGAGCCGGACTGTGTGCAGGCACTGCTCTCGTGCCCTTTGCAGGGTCAGCTTCTACAAGGGAAACAAGAACAAGGTGCCCAGCGTACACAAACTCACGTGTTTCATCCTGGGTACAAGCAGCTACCAAGCTGAAAAATGTCCTGGGGCTCATTTCACCTAGCCTGCTGCAGTGTCCCTCACCCTGGTGCTGGATTTGGGCAGAACCTCAAGGGGAAAATGACTGCTGGCACAACAGCAATGTCTCTAATCATGGCAGCAGCAGGACTGGTGATGTCTCTGCTCTCATAAGAAAATGGGGCAGACAGTGCCTTCAGCTGCTGACAGGCTGCTACCCACCTTGTGAATACTTTCGTCCACCAGGCCTCCAAGGACGTACACTTTATTGGGGTCAATATCTTCAAGGACTAGAAAGAAGATAAGCACTTGGTCACAACCATGTAACAGTAAATTCCTGTGCTACAACATTCTCCAAGCAAGACCCTGCTGCCATGAGAAAGCTGTGGAGTCACCCTTCACCCTGAAGCCTCAGACTGTGCAAAAGTTTGAGGTTTCCAGGCAAGAAACATCTGCCTGAACCCACAGCTGGACTGGGAGGGGGAGATCAGACACAAGCTGAAAGCACAGTGTACCAGAGACACCCAGTGCTACTTCCTGTAAGTGCTGTCTATTCTGAGATGTGGCTGATCTGGTCACCCTGATCCCAATCTGTTCTCCATATGCTTCCCCACTGTTCAGGTCACTCACTAAAACCTTCCTTTACCCTCACTCTTGGTCAGAGTAAGGCACAATAAAACAAGGAAGGGATCTACCTCCCCAGGAACATATGGCTGATTAGAAATGGAGGAAAAGGAGAAAATAAACACAAGAGCAATTTAAGCAATAAAGGGGACAATGTAGCTGCTGGATTATTTCAGAGAAAGATGTAATTAAGACTGTAACCAAAAACACCAGTTTGCCACTTGGTGGCATTATGAAATGCAGGACATCTATGGACAGGTTTCAAGTTAAGTCTGCTGCAGATCACACAAAGTGTGAAAACATCAATCCCTGTCAAAACAGGCTGAAATAGGAACAGATTTAGCACCAAAATGAAGTATACAGGACACCTCATGCAATTTGAGACAGTAAGTGCTTGGAATTGAATCACCTGAAATATGAAATAGTCTCAAAAAGAAAAGCTTAAAAATCAGCCTTTTGCCCTAGTTCCCCTGTGCATAAAGCGTGTACAATATTTACCATTCTCAGAGTCAGGAGTGAGATAAACAATTGCATCTAAAGGAAACAGGTCCAGGTAACTTTCTTCAGTTGTATCCATCTGAAAAACACAAGACAGAGAGAGAGGAAGTCCATTAGCTCAAAGTCCATCTGCCAGAGCAAAACCTACTCTCAGACATGGATATATCCTTGAACTGACACCACTGTCTTTGGTGTTTAAATTCCAGCAGACAGAGTGGTTTGTCTTTTTTTTTTAAATAAATTAAATGTTTTAATTTAAATGTTTTTCTATAGGAGTACTAAATAAGAAGTATCTCAAAATCCATTAAATTCACTTCTTATTAAAATCCCTAGGTGTGGTTTGAGGAAGGAAGATCAGCAGTAACTATCTAACTTTAAATGAGATATTCAGGTGGTTTCCTCCCCTCTGTGTTACCAGGTACAGCCCCACACCTGCTGTAGAACACATGGCTCCAAATCACTGCCCTAATCTGGATGTGTGGGTCTTGTACCCCAATACAGAAACTCAGGACAGAAATGCATGGACTTGCCCAAAGCTTGACCAAGCCTCTGTGTCTACCTCTCCCCAGTGTCAGAGGTCTCTTTGCAGAAGCAGCACACAGAGGAGGAATTCTCTTCCTGCGGGCAGCAGAGACCCAATCTCCCTGAAGGCCTTGTGCATCACCCCATGACCTATCAGTTCTCATCTCCTGCCAAAGGGCAAGCAGGTCTGACCTTAGCCACTGTCCCTTAGCTACATTCCCACAACACTCACAGCTTTCATCCTAGCCTGCCTTGGCTTGTCTCAGGCCAACACTGAAGGCAAGTGCTGCAGCTACAGGGTACTATAAGCCTTGAAAGGGCTGTGATCAGAAATCCTTACCAAATAACTGGAGAAGCCATCATTCATGCGAAAACACTCCTCATAGATCAATGAGCCCACTGCAAACTCTGTCAGACAGAGCCAAAACGGCTTCTTGGCCCGCCTGTTTGCCCCGTAGAGTCTTCTGATCTGGGAAGCAAGGCGGCTGGTTTCCTTCCAACAAATAACAAGCAAAGTGACCCACAAGTCCAGAGGTAACAGAACTCCATTCAGGGCCTACAGACATCCATGATACCCATGTCACCAGTGGGCTGCTGAGGCTCTGGAAAGGCTGTTCTGGGAGTACAGCTCAACTGTCCCTGGGTCTCAAGGAAGCCCAGACTCCTGGGTGTGCAGGCAGCCAATGTGGGAGACCAGGCCCAGGACAGAGGGACAGCGAAGGACACAAGGGCCAGCATCCCCAGAGGCTGAGCTTGGGAGAGCTGCTGCGTGCACCCTCACACAGCCGAGCTCTAGCTGAGCTGCAGAGTTTCTCAGTTTCCCAGCACAGCTAGAACAAACCAGTGACCTGCTCCAGCCACCCCATCTCCCTCAGACACTTTCCAGAGCTGAAGCAAAAGGAATGGACAGATGAGGAGTGCAGCTGCAAGGCTGCATTGAGGTTACAATAAGGCATGCCCCCAGAATCTCTAAGAAGTCTGGAACCTGGAGAGGAGCTATGCTTGCAGACAGCAGCAGTGGGGAGCACCCGTGCAGGATTCCCTGTACCTTCTTTGTCATGCAGT